TTCATCCTCTGTGGCTGCATCCAGCCCCCACTCCAACACATGAGTCTTTGGGCAGCACTGACTCCCCCCAGTCTCACATTCCCTACTTACACCCACAGCAATCCTGTCTCCAAGTAAGGTCACTTTCTGAAATGGGGCAAGTACTTCCTCACCTCAGCTTTGGGAGAATTCATTTCAGCCTGCAATGGAGGCCACAGGGAAATTCTGATATTTAAATCACATTTCCAGAGCACGTGGCTGGCTTTTGGGGGAAAGATAAACAAAACCTTAAGCACTAGGACAGATGATATTGCATTTGCACATTGGTTGCTTTAACGCTGAGGGTAACAGTGGCTGGCCCTTTGCAACTCTGTGGATTTGCTCTGCATTTTCTGCACCAAATTCCTTTCTATCCCATTTAGATTTTATTAGTTCATATTTGCAGCACATAATGATTCCCTTCCCCTGTGGAGAGTTGGCACATGGACACAGCACATCTTAGTTCCCTTTTCATCCCCTTCCCCCTCCTCTCCCTCTGTCATCCCTCTGTCTCTTTGTCCTCTTCCCATTTGCAAAAGGGCTGTCTCACTATTCCCTGTTCGCTGTCTTTTAATTTGCTCTGTACTTATATTGTAAGTTTGTTATCAGAAACCATGTGATAGGTAAGCTTTTGTGTTTATTTCATTAAACCTTACGAGCTCAAGTGCATCCATTTTCCTACAAATGACTCATCCGTCTTTCTTTGTGGCAGAGTAGTACTCCATTGTGTGTAAATACTACATTTTCTCGGGCGGGCGCGCGCCATCTCGGCGAGGAGGGGAAGCCGGTGGCCGCGGCGGCGGAACGGGCGGAGGCTGCGGGTTTCGCAATCATCGCTCCTCCTCGCTGACTCGCGGGCTGGGAGGCCTGGGTCTGCTCCGGCCACGCCGTGCGTGGCCTCTCGGAGTGGAGGCCACCTGGGGGCGGGCGGGCTGGAGGCGCAGGTGCATGTGAAGATTTTTTTTTTTTTTTTGGCAGTTTAGTGAGGAAGCGATTGATCACCTTGCTCTCATTTTTGCCTGATCTGTGTTGGCAAGAGCAAGTGCCCAAATGAGCAAGATAGTGCAGCACAGCGGTGCTCCAGGAGTGAACGGAGTAAGTGTTATTCACACGCAGGCACAGGCCAGCGGCCTGCAGCAGGTTCCTCAGCTGGTGCCTGCTGGCCCCGGAGGAGGAGGCAAAGCTGCGGCTCCAAGCAAGCAGAGCAAGCAGAGTTCACCCACGGATGGAAATAGTGATGAGGATCGGCAGCGCCGAGAGAGGAACAACATGGCTGTGAAAAAAAGCCGATTGAAAAGCAAGCAGAAAGCACAAGATACGCTGCAGAGGGTAAATCAGCTCAAAGAAGAGAACGAACGGTTGGAAGCAAAAATTAAATTGCTGACAAAGGAATTAAGTGTACTGAAAGATTTGTTTCTTGAGCATGCACACAACCTTGCAGACAACGTGCAGCCCATTAGCACTGAAAATACTACAACAAATTCTGATGCTGCAGGACAGTAGACCTCATCCTTCCAGACTTCCGCAGCTGTGACTTGAACATTGCAAGTGTGACCACCTGCACCACTCAGATGTTCATGGCTGAATGTTGTCCCTTTCATTACTCAAAGATCCGTTGGAGACTGTTTTCTAGGATCAGCACTGAAGAGTTGACTAGCTGTGTCATTTAAATATCTGACTTTAAACGATGTGGATTTTTGTGGAAATTGAAAAACAAAAATTTTTAAGGTATATGGTAAAATAAAAAAACATATCCTGGACCTTAATGTTCTTAATAAATCCTAACTTCCCAAGCAATATTTCTGTTGAGGAATGGGAATCAGGTCATGCAGAAGGTTCTCCGTTTTAATAGATGTAAGTATTGGATTAGGAAAAGTTGAATTCCATCTGTGTTAATGTTATTTGTGATTTTATTCTAAATTATCCTAGGACATAGAAACTAATCATTTTGGAGCGATTTTCGATTTTAAAAAAACTCCATCATATCTTAAAGGCAATATGCATTTAAATGGCTTAACAATAGAATTTAAAAAGTTAAGCATATTAGGATTATGATTTAGGGATACCTTTAGGTATTGGATTGGTATTATGTCCTAAAAAAATTCATTTGTGTACCAGAATTTTAGTTTTTGCAGATGCTAATAAGCCTTTTTTTTTTGAATCATTTTGAAAGTCAAGTTAGTAAATAAAATGTCTTAACCATTAGACACCATAAGTTACTGATTATGATTTGGAATATTAAATGAGCTTGTAGTTTCTTCTGTGTTTCAAATAAATTGCTACAGGGCCATGACTTTTAAAAGGCAAAAATTTATTGTGAAAAAAAATATTATGAAGTATCATTTTGGGATTTAATCTTAACCCAATAAATTACTAGAAAAATATATCAACTCTATGCCATCTCCCAACAATAGTCTAAGAAAACTTGAAAGTATAAGGTTTTAACCTTTTAATTTATTTTGCTTAAATACATCTGTTTGTGTTTTTTGTTGTTGTTTTTTTTTTCTGTGATAATTCTTTTAGTTAGTGGGCTGTTCTTGCAGACTTTCATGTACCACTGCTTCAAAGTTTAGAGCTTTGGGAATTGTGGAGTGATTATTGGTTCATTATATGCTTTTATGTCCCATAAATTATTTTTGAAAGAAAATGATAGTAAAACTCAGGATATTGACATTTATTTTTATGGTGACAAAAATGGCAATCACTAATGTTAGGCGTCTCTAGAGTTGGTGTTACATCACTGTTGGTAGTTTAGATCGTATGTGTTAACTTTGTCTTTGAGCCTGATTCTAGCTCAAGTTAGTTGGCTTCTGTGCATTGTTTTGTGCCTGGGATGGTGACTAGACAGTCGGACCCGTTTAAAGTTTGTGTTACTAGGTTTCGTATTTGAATATGATCATTTCTGGCCACACTGCTATTTTCTACTAGGACTTGGATAATGTAACTCAATTTGCACCCTGGGTTTGATGGGAAGTGTGCTGACTGCGCTGTTCTCCTGTGCAGAAGACCACACCGTGCAGGCAGCTCAGCAGAGATTTTTAGGGCTATAGGTTCCTTGCATATGTGATTGGAGCCAGGCATTGTTCCATGAAATGCTTCTCTGTGGGGGCTGTTGACTCCCCATAAAACCAGGCAATGGTTGGTTTTTTTCTTATTTTATGTTAGGGTCCAGCAGCAGTTTACTTTGATCAGTCTATTCATAGAAGTTGTTAGATACTCAGATAACTAGGGCTTACCAACAGAGACCCACTGAATCTAGTAGCTTACTGGTGTTATATAATTAACTTAATGGGAGCTGTAGTTAGGCCACTTGGACCTTTGAACATCTGTAATAGGTGTTACAGTTTAATCCCTTATTTAAAAAAAATACTATATTTTCTCTATCCACTCACCTGTGTATGGACAGATACACAGATTGGTTGTTTCCAAGATTTAGTTATTATGAGTGTGCTGCTGTAAAGTACACATGTATAACTGAAATGAGTAGATATTTCTCTGAAGAAGTAAAAGAGGCTAATAAATATATTAAAGTGTTCAGCATAACTGACTGTAAGAGAAATGCCAAATAGAGTAATATTGAGATTCCATCTTTCTCCAGAAAGATTGGTTGTCATGAAGAAATCAAATAGGAACAAATCCTGGTGAGGCTGGGGGGAAAGGAATCCCTCTCCATCAGTCATAGGAATGTAATCTGGTACAATCACCATGGAAGTCAGTGTGGAGATTCCTCAGAAGCCTAAAAGTAGAAATTCCATTTGATCCAGCTGTTCCCTTTCTGGGCATCTTCTGCAGAGAGCTAACGGTGTCGTTTTACAGGGGCACATACCTTAGTTCGTTTTGCAGAGGTGCTAGCCTAATTTCTTGTCACTGGTTGTTACCATGAAGAATGTGTATGCGCCCCACAAAGCCACCATAAGTTCCTTTCAGAGTGGTGAGCTTCATGATTAAAGCAGCTCTTTCCTGCTGCCCATGTCTGTTTCTTTCCATGTTTATCCTGGCTGTTGTAATTGGCCGCTCCTTTTCTTTCCTTGGTGGTCTCATAGAGCCCTCTAATTTTTAAAGCCAGAGCTTTGAAGCCCTTAATAAAATGGGGAAAGTCCTCTAAATTTTAGCAACTTGGAAGGCTGAGTTGGGTGAGTGAAAGGGGTGAGTCCAGCCCGATAAAGTATCAAGATCCTGTTTCAGATTAAAAGCAGAAAAACAAAATGGGCCAGTTTGCAGCTCAGTGGTGGAGCACTCGCTTGGAAGGAAGAAGGCGAGTTCACATGGGGAGCACTGCCATCCAACAGGAGAGAGGCTTGGGGCAGATGCTCAGCACAGTGCCCTCTGTTCCTGCACGGAAAATCCTGAGTCTCATCTGCAGGGTGCTGACCTAGCTTCGTGACTTTGAGCAGAAGAAACAGCAAAATGAAGCCTCCTCACACCTGGACACGAGCCAGGCCCCTGCCTGAGGGCTGGGATCTGCATCCTGCAATCCTGTCTTCCTGCCCAGTGCAGGGAATCACCCGAGACCTAGAGGAGTGCTGGCCTGTGTCATCAGTTTGTGCAGAGGAAAGAGGAGAGGGGGCTGGCGAAGCAAGTGGGAGTGAGTCTGGGTGGCATCCTGGGATTGGTGCAGTGTCTTTTGTCCTCTCCCAGTCACCCTGTACTGGTTCCCCTTGGTGCTGGTCTGAGACAATAGAGGGAGGAGTCTGAGCAGGCTAAGGCTTATTTGCTGAGCTCAAGAGCTCCAGAGGCTGCTGTAGCCCCCATGCTCCGGAAGCTGGCAAGGGTCTATGCAAAAGTCTCATGACAGCTGTGTTCCCCAGGGGGAGTGGAGCCAGAGGAGAAGGTGGGAGGAGTGACTGCATCAGACCTGTCACAATGCACAGCTCAAACTTTCAGCCTGGCACTGGGTGGGTGCCCTTCTGCCCTGCCCCTGCTACACTGCTTGAGACCATACCAGGCTGCCAGGCCCAGGCTTCTCTTTGCGTTCCCACTGGATGCATTCCCCTCAGCTAGAGCTGGGCAGCCTGGTGGCAGAGAATGGAGTCCAGGACTGGCTTCCAGTTCAGGACTGGGTTCACAGCAGTGAGACCTCATCCATAGGCTATTATGGGAGGATGTCCTTGGTGACAGCCAGGCCCATTTCCAAGCCTTCTCTCCCGGCTGCTCTGGAGAGGCAGGAAGAGGAGGAGACTGAGGTGATCCTCGGCCTGGGCAGGGAGCTGCCAGCTGGTGGACCAGGCACAGAGCCTCTGGAGCTGCTGGAGCCAGGGGAGAAAGGGCTACTGCTGGCTGAGTGCGCCAGTGAGGAGGAGAGGACAGCAGCCAGTGAGTGAGAAGGCAGTTTCCATGTCCCCTGTGTCCCTGCCTGTAGTCAGGAATGGGCTTCCAACGGCAGCTCAGCTCTTCCCTGGCCTTGCCCTGCCCACCTGGCTGAGCTCAGGGCCACCTGCTCCCAGTCCCCCTTCTCCTGCAGTTCTGTGAGTAGAGGTTTCTCCCTAGCCCCAAAAGCCTCCTGGAACTCCTCCCACTGTAACTCCTCCAGCACCAAATGTGTCCCTTCTCCTGTGACTCAGAGTTACCACTGGACAGGACAGATACCTTGACCCTACTGTCAGGGAGCCCAGGGTCTCATGGGGCCTGTCACAGCTGCTAGAGGGGCAGGGCCTACTTCCTCAGGCTGACAGCTTACAAGTGAGCTGGGTGGAGCAAGGTAGGAGGGTCAGAAGTGGCCCTGTCCAGAGGCCATGGTTGCTACAGGGACTTGGGTGGGGACTCAGGTAGAGCTGGGACTGTGTCCTCAGGATGAGGTCAGCACAGGTCCCCAGGAGCTACTGAGTGAGGAGCAGCCTGTTCCAGTCAGGAGAGTCCCCCCAGGGGAGCTGCATGTGCAGCTCGCTGGTGCAGCAGTGAGTGGGCACCCATGTGCCAGGAGAGAGGAGGGAGGGACAGGAGTGTGGAGCATGGGGAGGTGGCAGCTTCTGAGGGCCACATAGGCCAGAGAAGGGGTCAGTTTCCCTCCGAGAGCAGGAGGCCATAATTCACAGCTCTTTTCAGGGTGTGAGCATCCCTGCAGTTGCCTGCTTTTGCCCCTGGCTTGGTAGTGGTAGGGGATAATAAGATCTATAAGCCCCTCTCCATTAGTGACACTGCTATCCCCAAGCCTGAGTATTACCAAGGCTGGAGGCCACTGGGGACACAGGAGGGATGCATGCAGCCCTTGAAGACTGGGTGCCTCCGATTACCATTGCACCAAGTTTACCCTGCCCCACTGCACACCAGGCCTTTTCTCTGCCTGGAACCTGGCCCCTGCCTCCCACCCCATCCTTGGTGTCCCTCCTTCCTCCCCAGCAATGGTCCCCAGCTCCTGCAAGACCCATCACAGTAGCTGCTGTGGCCCGCATGTTGGTGCCTCTTCTTTGTTTAAGACCTGCTTGTGTTGAAGTCTGTCATTCTGTTCTCTCCAGCTGGGCCTGGGCTGCTGCATGGCTGAGGCCTGCTGCATGGAGACCTGGGATCCTGTTCCTGTGCCCTCCATTCTCAGCCACAAACCAGCTCTTCCATAAAGTTATTTTCGTTTTGAGCCCAGGCTCCCAGGTTATGACCTGAGCTTTGGGACTGGAGGCCCTTTCCCTTCCTCCCTACACTCCCTGGGCCACACAGACCTGAACAGCAGGGCAGGTGGGGCTGCAGCTTACTGGGTGGCAGGCAGCAGCACTCCAGTATTTGTAGGGCATCTCTCTATGAGGTAAAGCTCTGCCAGCTCTTGGCCCCAAGCCCCTGCCAGCTCAGTCGGTGTCCAGGAGCAGAGCTCTCTCTGGAGTGCCCCGGGCTTGTCACTTGCTGTCTGTTGTTTAGCTGAGTTGCTCAGGGCAGAGTGCAGCATGTTCTGTTCCTCAGGGTGGACAAGGATGAGGAGGATGTGGAGGGGGAGCATGTCACAAAGGTGAAACACCCAGGCGGGGGCCTTCTGTGTGGGCCACCCCCACCCCCACCCGGTGTGCACCACATTTCTTTCCTGCTGTCCTTACTCTGAAATACCAGAGGAGAAGCATCATCATCCTTGGCCTCCACCTCACACTTGACATAATGCATGGGGTTTACCCCCCTAGCTCTGTCTCTAGCGGGTGAGGGCAGGGACACTGCATGAGGACCAGAGCCCTGTGTCCTACCTAGCTGGGTCAGAGGCATGGCCTGGCTGGCATTGCCTGTGTGGCCTCCCTTGGTGTTATCCGATGTGGGTGACACTGCATTTGTAGCCCTGTTCCTGAAGGCTCCAGGCCTCCACGTGCCAAGAGCTCTTGTGGCTGTTCTGTGCCCTCTTTAACCTCCCCTTCGTCTGCTCTAGGCAGATTTACTACTGCAGCCAGGCGCACTCCCAGCTGGCCCAGTTCACACAGGAAGTTTGGAAGAGCCCCTTTGGCAAGGTCCCCAAGTTGGTGACCCCAGGCTCCCAGCAGGTGAACGGTGTCAGGCTTCCTGGCCCCAGTGCCCTTCTGCCTCTCCCCACACCCATGTCTCCTGGTCCAGGGTCCTGGTGTTGAGAGACAGCAGGGCCGAGGCAGCTAAGCTGTGGTCACAGCCCGGCCCTGCCTGCTACTCCTGGAAGGAGGAGAGGCGACTCCATGTCCCTCACCACCCATCACTTCACCACATCCTCTTGGCTTTAGAACCTTTGTGTGAATGAAGACATAAGAAGCCTGGGTGCTGTGCAGCTGGTCAACAGCCACCGCATGGAGATGCAGAGAAGCCCACATGGTAGGAGCCAAGACTGCATGGCCATGTGGGGCGGGGGCAGAAGGAAGGCCCTTGAGGGTCCTGAGCTTAGAGCAGGGACTCAGAAGACAAAGACCAGACCATGAGGTCTTGAAAGCAAATAATGGCAAAGCTGGCCTAACCCTCTCCCAAGAAGGAAAGGAGCAGGGTCCCTGGGTGGAATGTGGGTTTACAGGCAGTTTACAGAGAGAAGAACACAGCCTCAGATGACAAATCTGAAGCATGAATGGATGACACCACTGCTGAGGCAGAACTTGTAGAGCCCTTTAGACCCACCCAGGGCAAAGCAGGGGCTCTTCCATGACCCTGAGCCCTGTCCTGGTCACTGAGATATGCATGATCCTTCTTGTCTTTGCTCCTGGCATTTGCCACCCACAGAGAGTAAGAACAGAGCTGAGGCAGACAAGCCCAAGAGATGGCAGCAGGAAGACCAGGCTGCTTGCCTCTTCCACAACCGAGAGCAGACACAGCTGCTCCAGGATGAGATCCTGGTGGCCCTTTGGAGGGCCCCTATTATGGGAGCTGGCTCACCATCCCTGTGGCCCAGGTGAGCACGTGCTCATGCATGGGTCCCTGCTCTGTAGTCTAGGGAGACACCCCACACACAGCCAGGCTATCCAACTCTGATGGCCCCAAGGGCAGGAGGCCACTTATCAGCATGGGACCCTAGACTAGGTGGGTGCTCACAGAGAAACTGAGGCACAGTCCTCCTCTCCACCTCAGTCTCCTGCCTGACCCCAGCCCTGCATGGGTGAGGTGAGTGTAAAGAGTCCTGGACCTGCTGATGGACACACAGGAAGAGCTCCAACAGTCAGGGTCCTGAGGTTCTCAGTCAGCTTTGCCCTTATGGTGGCCCACTGAGACGACCACATGCTACATGTGACATTTGGTGACTTCCCTTTGTGGTCACTGAGCATGAGCTGTGGTGCTCACATCTGAACCAGGACATTATGTTTCCCGGATTCTGAGTATTTCTCATCATTTATCAGTATTTTAACTGGAGGATATTTTTTTTCATTGTGCAGTATTCAGGATTGAACCCAGGGCCTTTGCCATGAGCTGCATCTCCACATCTTGTTATTTTTTTGTTTGTATTGTTTTAAATTTTGAGACAGAGTCTCTTTATTTTGTTAACTACCCAGGCTGAGCTGAAACTTATCATCCTCCTGTTTTAGCCTCCTAGGGTGCTGGGATGACAGGAGAACCACCATACCCACCTTGAAAAATCTTCATAACAAAATGTACCTAAAATTGACAAAGTGCTTTAGTTTTGGTTACCGTCCTCCACTCCTCTGCCCTAAGCTGAGGCAGATGACGAAACTGAGGTTCCAAGACTAAACAGCTATGTTGTGGACATCTGGCTGAAGGGCCAGGTTGTCATCATAACAAAGCGCACAACCTCATCGACATCATCAGGGGTATCCATGGCACAGAGGTCAGCGTGTCCCAGGTGGTCGGCCTGCATGGAGTAATGGTCTGTGGACCTTCCCTGGAGGCCCTGGACCTCGATTATTCTGGGGATAGTGCTCGGCAGAGTTGCACAGTGGCTGCTGGCTGGTCGGGATGGGGACCAGAGAGCAGCAGGAGTCTCATGTCGCTGGGTCTTGTCACTCTCTGTGTTGCTCAGCGAGATTTAATTGGGGCACACTCGGGACCCCCGCAGGTTTCTCTCTGTAATCTATTCCATACCATGTGCTTCACCAGATGCCTCTACGCTCCATACTGATCCCTGGTGGGCTGGACTCCTGGCTGGTGCTGTGAGCCCAGGGACTCAGAGGGTAAGGCCAGGGCCCAAGATTGCACAGCACAGGAACAGGGAGCCAGACATTCCCTCTGGTTTCACACCAGTTAGCAGGGTCCTGGTGCCTTAGGCCAGGGTGTGATGGTTATTGTGGGAAGCCCCAAGTCTCCCCCCAACCCCGACCACCAAGAAAACCAGCAGGGAGCTTGCTTACCCAAAGGTTTCAGCCTCTCGCTTTGCCCAGCCCAAAGCAGAGCTTCCTGTGCTCTCAGATCCATCAGCCTCAGGGCCACAGACCCATGCTCCATGGGTTCCCAGCTCCCATGTCAACTGCCCGTGATGGCTCCTGTGAGTCCCGAGCTGGCGTTTTCTGGGCACAGTGTCAGTTCTCTCTGACCCAACTCTTAGCCGCTTGTCCAGAGCCTGGTCTGACCTCAGCCTGTGCCCGGTGCTCTGTCCCCAGCTCTGCCAGGTTCACTCCCAGTTGCTTCAGTACACCGAGTGGTGGTGGTGGTGGGGGTGCAGCCCCAGGGCAGGAGGGATGGTCCTGGTCCTATTGGCCTGCAGAGGGTGTGTCCGGCTAACCTTCCCATCTGGGTCCTATGTGCAGGGCGGGTTCCCCACTGGGCCTGGCTTACTTGGGACAGGACTACTGGCTCTCTTGGGGGGTAGCCTGTCTTTTTCCTGGGGTGTTGATAGTTTGTGACACAGTTGGGCCAGGTAACTGCGAGCTGTAAAGGAGCCCCCACTCGAGGCCTGTGGGTTTCTCCTCAGGAAGCATCTGAAGGCCAAGAGCCTGATGTGCATCAAGTAGGTCCTGTATTTCCTGGACTACTTTGTGGCCATGCTGGGAGGTAGGCAGGCACTGCCTCAGGCCCCATCTTTTCCTTGGCTGGCAGCAGGGACCCAGAGATCTCCCACGGGTGTCAGCTGTGTCTCTGTCATTGGTCTGTGAGATTCTTGTTCCTTCTGCTGAGTCCAGCAGTCAAACCTTACAGCCTAGTCCACTGGCCCACATACTGTGCCCTTTCTTTTCTTTTTGGTACCGAGAATCAAACTCAGGATCTTGCACTTGCCAGGCAGGCTCTGTGCCCTTCTTCCCACCACATTCTTCTCCCTGCATGACTCAGTGCATGACATTCTGTGATGGGGTTGCCTTCTGGCAGCATATACAGCACCCTGCATGGCCACAGTTTCATTTGTCCCATGATGGGAGCAGCCTGTGCATTTGAGCCCTGTTTACAGATGTGTCACTGAGCAGAGAGCCAGTGCTTCTCGTGTGACCCCACTTCGGATCCATGGCCTGATTGGCATCCGTGCCCACAGAGTGGGGGTGGAGGGTTGGAAGGGTTCTGCAAAAGGATCTTAACTCATGCAGGGATGTCAGTTTCCGTTCCCTTGGCCACTGCAGGCAACAGCCCGGGGCCATCCGCACCCTGAACTGCACACAGTGGGTGCAGGAAGAGAAGCAAAAGAAGGAAATGAGTTTCATTCACACCATGCCCATGAGACAGCTGGAACCCCTGCCCTCTCTGTGGGTTCTCTGCCTGCTGTAAATGACCAAAAGCAAAGCAGCCACCAGAGCTTGCTGAGACGGGAAGGCCTAGTCCGATGAGCAGTGTGCAGATAGGAAGGCAGAAGTGGTGGGCAGGTGACTCCACTATGACCTGTTTATATCTTTCAGGGAATATGGAGCAGAACCCCAACACACAGAGCCTCTCGAAGACAGGGGTTGCTTGGTGACCTGGGTGACCTGAGCTGCTCTGTCCCAGTGACACCAGAAGCCAGGCTCCAGAGAAGGGTACCAAGCCTTCTTCCTGACTGCTCTCAGGGACAGAGCTAAGGACCATCCACAACTTCCTGTTTCAGAGCCAAGTGAGCAACATCAACCTGTTCAAGGTAGAGCTGCTGCCTTTCTATCAAGGCCCATTGCACATCCTTCTTGGTGCCAGCTGTGGGTGCTGCTGCTTTCAAATCACAGAAGGAATAAAATGCAGAGACTCAGTCATGCGACAGTCTGAGGTCTGAGGACCCAAAATACAGACTTGGGAAATTACCAGCCACTTAAAGCACTGTATACCCAGGAGCTAAGTGATTCTGGGTATGGGCTCGGTGGGAACCTCAGGAGACTGCAGATGCCCCCCAACTCTTCTACTGTCTCACCCTGGAGCCTCAGCTTTGACCACAGCCTCTGACTTTCACTCACCCGCACTGTGCACATTTGGTTCCTGTGCACAGTGGCCAGCCACTGTCACTGGAGTCACTGCCCCTGCCTGAGGACAGAGCATGTGCTGTGTCCTGGGAGGGTAACAGGTGGCAACCACACCACAGCACCTTGAGCCGGGGTGAAGCAGCAGCCGGGCTGAGTGGGGTCGGCACCAACTGCCCTTTGCTCTGCTACCAGAACAACTTGGGTCACACCTGCTTTTTGCCTTTCCATGTAATGTTTTTTGTTTTAAACCTGATTCTGAGCTCCTCAGGGTCCAGCTCAGCTGCCATCACTGGGAAATAAAGCAGGAGGGCAGAGCATCTGTGGAGTAATCAGATCCATGGGACAGTTATGAGGAGGCAATGGGAGTGGGGCTGTGCTTGGATTTGGTAGTAGAGGAGGAAAGGAGAGGAGCAGGGTGGACCAGGACCCGAGCTCCAGGTTTTGCTTTGCTTCTTTCTTTCTTTTCTTTTCTTTCTTTCTTTCTTTCTTTTTCTTTCTTTCTTTCTTTCTTTCTTTCTCTCTCTCTCTCTCTCTCTCTCTCTCTCTCTCTCTCTCTCTCTCTCTCTCTCTCTCTCTCTCTCTTTCTTCTTTCTTTCGAGACAGGGTCTCACTATGTAGTCCAGGCTGGCCTTGAGTTCACTTTGTAGCCCAGGCCAGTCACTTGGCAGCTTTCTATAATGCAGGTCATGGCCAGCCCCTCCTACAGCTATCTCACCTTTGCAGGTCCAGAGGTACTGAGAGAAGAGCAAAGTCAGCTGGAAGGTACAGCCTCTGCCCTGGCCCTCACCATGTCGTGTCTTGCCTCAGGGACCCTAGCTCATCTTTGTCTCTGCTCCTCAGGCTGGGGAGGGCATGGGCTGCAGCTGTATGGAGTCTTGTGTCACTCCATCACACTCTCTCCTCCTCCACCAGCTCTGTGGCTCACAGAATCCTATGTCACCACCTTCCTTCCATCCCACGAGTGGTCCAGACTGGCTGGGCTCCAGCCCTTCCTGCAAAGCTTCCAACCCAGGTGACCCAGAGTGAGTTGCAGGGCAGTGCTATGAGCCAGGCTGTGGGCTTGGGCAGTAGTGGTCCAGACCCAGTGACGCATATTGAAGGCTTCCTTGCAGCTCTCACCACTGCCAACCAGGAGAGAGAGCAGGGCCATCCTGAGCTGCCAAGGTACCAAGCAGTCAGCCTGGCCAGGTTGCAGCAGGGAGCCACACCAGGGACTCTGGGCAGATCCCTGCCCTGCCTGGCTTAGCAATGGCTGGGGCAGGCAGTGGCCTTAAGGGTGGGAAGTTGCCTCTCTGGCTGTGTGACCTGGACTTGTTTTTCTCTTTGCACGGGCTCTGCTCTCCCTGTGTGTGTGCGTGTGTATATGTGCATGTGTATGTGTGTGCAGGTGTGTGTGTGCAAGTGCATGCATATGTGATGGCTGCCCTGTCTACCTTGGCATTTGTTTCAGAGGGAAAACAGGGCTGGACCTCCCATTCTGTACCATCCTGTATGTGTCCTCCAGGGCACCTGGGAGCCCTGTATGCAGGCTGACCCTGCCCTTCTGTCTGTTCTCCTTTCAGGCAGTCTCAGCCAGAGCAGCCTCAAATTCTTCCTCTGAATCCAGTCGTACAGTTTGCCCAGCAGGTAAAGGAATGCTGGGCAGTGGTCAGTGTAGGGGGCACCATGCAGCCTGTAAAGAACCGAGCCCCTGCTTCCTGTGCCCCAGGTACTGGGATGGCTCAGGGGCAGGACACAGCCCCAGTCAGGTGTCCTCCCTGTCTGTCTTCCTGACTCCTAACCTGAAAGAGGAGATGCAGAGGCCCAGCAGTGTCTGCTAGGTGGCACTGCTGAGGCCTCCCAAGGCCTTTGTGTGTCCCAGACCCTTGGTGCCTCCTTGAGGTCTCTAGATGGCCTACCAGGGAGGTTTCCTTCTTCTGAGGCTGGTGTAATGCAGACTTTTTGGGTTTCTCTGTAGAAACCAGGGAGAGGAGCAGTGGGGGAGAAGTAGGCCCTCATTTCATGCTCAGAGATGAACGATGGTGTGCATCATCACGGCAGTGGCCTTTCTCTGGTTAAGTTTCACAGGTGTCTGGGTCCAAGGCAGTGCAGCAAAGCAGAAGAGAAGCCATTCATGGCAAGCAAAGACAGAAAATACAGGGCAGGCAGAAGACAGGTCTCTTTCTGGCTGTTGTATCCTGGCTGCCAGGATTAGGGCAGTTCTGAGTCAATCAGTGAACTGACTTACTGATTACCCACCCTCATTCCAAGCATTACACCATAGATCGGTTACACACTCTAGATCCATCCATCTTTCGGAGAACATTCAGACACAAGCCAGGATGTCCCCTGAGCTCCCCCCTTGCTGTGTTCCAATTTCATGGGTTCAGTGCATTTCCCAGACCACTCTGGCATTTCTGTCCTCTGAACAGCCCCCGGGGAAAATGCAGCCTGGTCTCTGCCCAGGAGTTCTGTCCACAGCTGCACATACAGCAGACACACACCCTCCTCAGCTTCTGTGCCTGCCACAGTCACCGCTGTCACACTTTATTTATTTATTTGTTTTCTTATTGCCAAGATTTCTAGATTTTTATTCATCCTGTGCCTTACAGTTCTCTTTGCCCATCACATGTTCTCTGAATTAGCATCGGGAGCCCCTGCCCGCCCCCTGTGGTCCTGTGGACCAGACTCCAGGTCTAGCTGCCTCCTGACTTTCACACACAGCAGAGTGACATGTAAGCAGAGGGTGGTACCTGGCACTTGGTGCTAGGGTGACCCACCTCTTCCCAATTGTCACAGTGCCTAGGCTGTGCCTAAGGGACACTGAGGAGATGCATTTTGAAAAGCCAGAGTGCGTACTGACATTTCTGAATCAAAATAACAAACTTAACTTCCGTGACCTTAAATTTAGATCCCTCAGGGCAGGCAGAGCACAGGGGAGTAGATAAATGTGGGTTCAGTGATGATGACAACAGCAAAAAATGTCGATACTTGTTAGCTTAGCATAACTATTTCTTTAATATCTCAGTATCCTTAAACAGCCTGAAAATCACATCCCTGCTCCAACAGGAAACCTGCCAAGGGAAGGGGCCTTGCTATGCCTGTGTGTTCTGTGCTGGCAGGGTGCAGCGCTGTCTGAAATCAGGTTTTTCTCCCAGTGCTTCTGTCCGTAGTGGAACCAGTCACGGGGAACTTTTTGTTTCAGTGTGGTTAGTTTTCTTTTTTCCCTTTCAATCTAATTTCTGTTTTTAAAATATATAACCACCCTTGCATGGTGGTTGCTGGTGCATGCTGGCAGCCACTGGCCAGTAGCACAGCGAGATCTGCAGGCTTTAGCAGCTGTGGGCTCTGTGTGGGACTGAGGTGGCACGGCTCATGCAGCAGGCAGCCTCTCTCTGCAATCCTGAGGTCCATCTCTGTGCAGAGGGCCTCCCAAGACAGAAAACCCTCTGCATGGCTACTTTGCAGCTCTGCTATTTGCAGAGTAGATTCCTAGGTAAGGAATTGCCGGGTTTAGAAAGGTGAAACTACTTGTCATTTGCTAAACAGTGTGAAATTCTTCTCCCTGGGGGCAGTGACCATTGTGTAGTGCTGGCCCTCATTACAGCCACAATGTCTGAGAGCTCGGTTCCTCCACCCAGTGGTTCAGCTTTAGGGATTTTGTCCATTGGGCAGGGGACTGATTCCTCTTCAGTGATTGGGGTGAGAGCTGTGTGCATCTAAAGACTTTCCCCTGGTGATTTTGATCCAAAGCCAGAGTTGAGACCCCCTGTGCCAAATTGGCCACCTGGGTTTTGTGTTCTGGCAGCAGTCTGAGGAGGCCACCAGCAGCAGGGGTCATTAATGATTGTTTTCTTTTTGATAATGCACATCAGCCTTTCTGAGCTCTTTTCCCATGCAGTGTCCTGGCTGCCACCCTGCCCCAGACTTTTCCTTTTGTTCTCTCTGCCAAGCCTGAGTGCTCGCTGTGCTAGGAGCAGCTGCTGGCCTGTGCCAGTGCACAAGTGGAGCACATGCATGGTGGAGTTTCCTGTGGTGAGTAGATGCCATGGTGTGATCTCTGCTCACTGGGTTTTGCCACTGGCTAGGCCCTGGGTGGGGACATCACAGGGTGGCTTGTCACCTGCTCCCTTCCCACTTTTATACCATGACCTGCCATCCACATGGCCCACCTTCCTTGACCCCAGGGGTCCGGGGGCCCTCAGTGAGGGCTCCTGTGTGGGAGATGGGTGGGGAGCACACTCCCTGCACTCCACCTGCCTTGTGGAGCAGTTTCCCACCCTGTCCCTTCTCACCAGGTCATGTGATCACATCGGACACCCTTCTGTCCTTGGTCCTCTACAGTGGGTTAGCCAGCAGCTGGAGCTCATCTTTCAGCAGAGAGAGCTGCCCACAATAGTCAGTGCCAGCTTTAGCCCATACAGCCCCCATGGCACAGCACAGTGCTCTGGGGCACACTGGCATTGGGGAAATCCATAGTGGGGCACCCATTCCAGCTGGCCCGCAGTGAGTGGTGTCTCTAGATATTTCTCATGAAGGGGTGGGCTGTCCCTGCCCTGGCCCTCTAATTGAGTTTCCTTCAGCCCTCCAGGCACCTGTTGAGGACATGGGGGTGAGGGATTGCCCCCTGCCCTGGTTCCCTTGGTAATGTCAGTGCCACCCCAGGTGGGTGCAGGTCTGGGAATGAATCTTCACTGCTGCCTGGGGACTAACAATTCCTTTGTCCTAGACACCATTGGTTAGGATGCTGGGAGTTGGGGGACTTGGTGGCCTAACACTCTTAGTGTCTGCTCTCAGGTGCTGGCTCTGGGACCTGGGTCACAAAGGCAGGTGTGTTTGGCAAGAGGATGGCACATGTGCTTTCCAATTCCACTCACTGAGTCAGGTGGCTGTCGCCCTCCTGAGCTTGCTCGCCCACTGGGTCGAGCTCTAAACCTCTGCCTGGAGTCCAGCTGTGATGTCCCAGGTCCTCTACAACCTGTGCAGCATGGTCCCTGGGGGGCTGGTCTTTTTCTTCTTTCCCTACTAGTTCAATCGCCATGTCCTCGCCTACTGGGAGAGGAGTGGCCTGCTGGCCCTCTGGCTGTCAGAAGAAGGTGAGCGGCCCCTCACCTGGCAGGCCTCTCTGGGATGGCAGATCCCCGAACTCCCTGAACCCGATGGTGCTGCTCCTCCCAGTCCCTCGTCTGCACCCCTTCCTTCCAGGTCTCTGCATCCCAAAGCTGGATGCTGTGAGAATGGCCTTCCTCAGAGTGTAGGACAAACCTTTGAGGCAATGTGAGTACTCATGCTCCCTGGCCTTTTCCTAGGAGACCATCTCTCCCTGCAGCTCCCTGCTGGAGCCCAAGAGAGCCAGCTAACCGGAGCAGGTGCTGGCTGAGTATGACAGATTTATTAAGGTTAGGGGCACAGGCTGGGCCCCAGGCCCACACTGGACTGGCTTCTTGCTGGCCCCAGCCCAGTGCTGTGTGGAAGATGGGTGGGGAGCACACTCCTGCACTCCACCTGTCTTGTGGAGCAGTTTCCCACTCTTGGATGGGGTCTTTCTGTAGAGCTGTGGCCAGGCAGGAGGCCTAGTGACCAGGGCCCTGCTCCTCTCCATGGTGAGAGGGAAGATGAGTGAAGGGATCAACTTCTCCAACAACCTGAGATAGTAGATGAGATCCTCTTCCCTGTTGGGACCCTGTGCCTGCCTTGCTCTCATGCCACAGGGTCTGCATGCAGGCTGGGTGTTCAGGGTGCTGAGGGGGCTGCAGGGAGGGGCAGGCTGACTGTGGAGCAGGAAGACAGGTTGAGTCCTTGGAGAGCCCATTCATTGGCCTGGGCTGGATCCAGTCTGGTAGGGGTAGGCTTCACCTCAACACAGGCTTCACCTCAACTGTCCCCCAGGTGCTTGATGATGGTGGGCATGCCCTACACCAACATCTGGTCTCCTGAGCTATAAGAGATGGCCTATGTGGACCAGTACCTCATGAGTCCTGCTGGGTTTCAGAGGGTTGGGGTGGTGAGGATGAAGAGTGGGTGACCCCTCCAGCTGGGACGCAAGTTTCTGGCCATCCCTGTGTGGATGCTGCCTGTCCACGGCAGTTCAGTGTTGCATCCTTGCCTTGTCAGCATTTCCACCAGGTCACCTGTCACACCTTCCGCTGCCCTGGGCCTTTAAAGCCCAGGTCCTTCCCCAGGAACAAGAGGATCACTAGGCAAGAGGTGGAGACACTTCTGTCTCCTTTAGCATTGCAGCCCAGGAGCCCAGGCCCAGGGGAAGGCATTATTGGAGAATCTGTGCATGAAGGCCAGCAACCAGTCCATCGGGGAGTTGCAACTGCCCTGGCCCTAGGAGGAACAGCCAAGCTGGACGAGTGGTAGGGTGGGGTGACAGCAGTGGAGACCTTCCTTACATGCCCTCCCATCTGAGGGCTGGGTGTTGGGAGGACCTGGTATGTGTGCTGTAGGGAAGCAGATATCACTCAGAGCCCCACCTCTGTGGCCCCAGGCAGAGCCATTTGGCACCAGAGGGTCTTCTCCAGCATCATGCTCCTGGACCAGCACTATGCCCCAGCCTCAGTGCCCCTCGGAGGGCACAGTCAATGAATACCCTAGGAAGCCAGGGATGCAGTTGAAAATCGAAGCTGGGCGTTTCATCCAAAGCAGCCCACCTTGGGGAGTTTTGTTACTGGAAGTCCTGGCTCCATAAACTGCTGCCTGCAGTCAGTCATTCTAGGCCTCTGGCACTCCTGAGGCTCAGCTTCCCTTTCGATGCCTTCCTTAAACACACTTTTTTTCCAGAATCCACTGGGCTCCATCCTCAGCCCTCTTTTTACGTTTTATTTTGAGACAGGGTGTCCCTAGGTCGTTTAGTTGCCCAAAGTGAGCTGCAATTTGCGACCCTCCTGCCTCTGCCTCCCAGAGTGGCAGGGTCACAGGCTTGCACCACCAGGCCTGACTTGCCAATCCTTTTCAAATCTGGAATGAAGATCTTCCTGGAACGTGGGTGCTGCTGCCTGGACCTGAGGCACAGTTGCTGTGGGCGATTTCGGGATAGAGGGACCCACGTGCCCTCGTGGTCCACCTTGCTAGGCCTCAGCCCCGGCCCCTGTCTACACCCACGCCCACGCCCTAGGCAAGGCCCAGCCAGGCCAGGCACTCCTACCCGGCTCCTCAGCCCCTTTCTGCCTGTCCGCTTTCCCTCCCATGGTGCGGCTGGGTCCTAGCGCCGCCTGCCGCACGGCTCAGCCGCCCGCCCCGCCCCTCCAGCCCTACACCTCTCCTGCAGCCAGAGGCTTTCAGCCGCCTTAGCGTGGGCTCGATTTACCCTCTGGGGAAAGTCGCTTCCTTCCCTGCGTCTCGCTCAGGGATTAGGGTGCAAGGAGGTCCTGGATCTGATTCCCCGGCGCCAAATAAATAAATAAGGAATGTGGAAGCCAGGCGCAGAGACGCCGTGCAGAACCGAGCTGCGGGTGGACACCGGGGCGCAGTCCCATCCAGGACGCAGCCTGAGCAGCCTGACCGCAGGGCCGCTGAGGACCGGCGCTCCCGGGCTGACTCCACGGAAGCCTCGGTGAGAGCGAGGCCTGAGCTTCTCCCCCGGGAAGGAGGAGCGCTGGGTCCCGGACAGCACTGCCCCCTCGGACCGGACCTGGAAGTCACCCGGATACCCGGGGAGCGTGGGGTCATCAGAGTTTCCAGCGCATTTCCTAGATGCTAGCGGGGCTCTGCCTGTCTCTGTGAGGCCAAGGCGAGGGCTTTGTGCTTTTTTCGTATTAGTGCCAAGGAGCAATCTAAACTTCTCCTTCTGTCCTCAGACATGATCTTTGATTTGAAGAGTGAAAGCACTCAGGTTAAGACAAATGTGACTGCGTGGATGCCTGGTCATCTCAGTCAGATTCACGGAGACACCATGAAAGCAGGGCAAGGAGAGGCGTTGGTGTTGGATGGGCCCGATTTTAACTTTAATTCAGGAAGTTCCAGCACTTCTGTAGAGGGGCGGTGGTGACTGCAGCAGACCCTGTGAACGCTGCAAGGCACTGATTTGTCAGAGGATAGCCAGGCCCTAGGTGCACACCACACACACAGAGGTCAAAGTGGCAACAATAATGGATGTTTAAAATTATAGTGAAAAGCTAGCAAGATGAAAAGAGGGAGAGACTGAGTGGGGAGCTGGGGAGAAGGAAAAAGACAGACAAATGCTTTTTAAAAAGTTAAATCTACAGGAGAAACTCCAACCCAGAGCATGCAGTGATTCTTCCTGTGAGCCCCTGGCCTGCTTCTTCCAAACCTTTCACTAACACTGGGTGGCTAGTTAAATTGAATTTCAGGTAAACAGCAGTAATATTTTTTAGCTTAAGCATGTGCTTTGCTTAGTTTAATATCTATTTGTCCTAAGCATAGTTTATCTGTCATCCTCAATAAACTAGACATCTCAGATTTTCATTTGGTAAACCCGGCAGCCCTCCTAAGAGCCCAGGACTGCCGGCCGCCTTCATGTGTGGATTGGGGGTTTGGGGCCTCTTTTCCTGGTTGGCCCTGTCTCTGAAGCCCTGTATCTCCAACTGACCGTTCTCATCCTTCCTTTCACTAGTGCCCCTCCTGAAGGCAAGTAGCAGTGGCAGTGGGGGCAGGGTCCCTGCAGTTGTGGGTGACTCTGGTAGGCATAGCTGGGACTCTAGGGATGCTCTGGGGCTTGCTGAGGTGCACGTGCTAGGGGACAGGTCTTCTGCCTGCAGGATACTGGCCGACAACGTATTCGCATCCTGGGGCCTGCTGTGTCAGAGTTTCACACTGCAGCCCACCTGACCCTCCTGTCCTGCCTTGTGTCCTTTCCCATACCTCCACTTGCGTGATGCCTGAACGAGAACAAAACCAATTAAAGCAAAAAGAATGAAAGCCTAACGAGACTTCCAAACTAGGTAATAGGAACTAAACAACGCTTACCACCATGTCTCTTGTTTTCTTCCAAACAGCTGTCCATACTATCACACATAATAAAATGAAACAAAATAAAACAGAATAAAAACAATCAAATCAAAACAATGAAAACACTACAGGACTTCTAAACCAGAAATAGGGAATCAACAATGGCCACCATAATATATCTTGTTATCTTCAAAATAGCTCCCCATGCCATCAAACACAGTAAAATCTAACAAAAGAAGACAGAACAAAACCACACTGAACAAAATGATGAAAATGATGCAAGAATTCAAAATAAGATAATTGGAAACTAACAGTGGATACCACTTTCCCTTTTTAGGCCTTTCTTCCCCTATCATTTTCATAATATCTATTGTGCTTTTTTTTGAAAACGAATAACTCCTTCAGTTTTTTATGCTAGGGAGATAACTTGATGCTCACATGTGTGAATTCAAACCATTTCACCATGAGCATGATCCCCAGTTGCAT